CCCGATCTGCCGACAAACAGCTGATCGGCAGATCGGGGCAGCCATTTAAATTTAAATGAAGCCGCGATTATTTTAATCGCGGCTTCATTTCCCCCTTCCGATCTGGCTAATCTACATGCCTCCGTCGAAGGAGGCATGTAGTCTAGACACACCCCAGGTGGTTAAACAGTGGAATAAGTTGCCTAGAGAGGTTGTGGAATCTCCATCTCTGGAGACATGTAAGAGCAGGTTAGACAGACGTCTACCAGGAATGGTCTAGATGGTGCTTGGTCCTGCCATGAGGGCAGGGGACTGGACTCGATGACCTCTCGAGGTCTCTTCCAGTTCTAATGGTCTATGATTCTATGATCTTCCCAACATGCACTCCCCTCATTCTTTTAAACCCTCTCTCGGGCTGTAGCTTCACCGTATACTGCACCAGATACCATCATAACACTACAGGGTGAAGCTTAGAACAGAGGAGTTAAAAATCTATATGAAAATATAATGGAACCTCCATGCTTGGAAGAAATAACCCGGGTGTAACAGACAATGTCAAGATTGAGGAACCCACAAAGGAGAAAGTGGAATCTAACACCACCCCCCTTCCAAAAATGCAGGGGGAAGTAAAACCAGGGAGAGCAACTCCTGCCAGATCCCAGTCAACATCACTGGGTGACATCTGCCCCATGAATGGAGCCAGTCCCCAGAAGGGAGGGGAAGAGCCATTAACGAATACAGACAAGATCATGCAATGCTTCTGCCCCCTCAAAGGGTGCAGGGATGGAGCTGAATTAGCATCTCCTTTGGCTGGGGGAGTGGAGGTCAAAGTCTGTCTTAAACGGGCTGCGGGGGTGAAATTGCTTTTTTTGTGATGGTACTGCCCATACACAGTACCGGCACCTCCAGATGCAATACCGGTGCCTCCAGTCAGAGCTCAACAACTTTTCCCCTGGGGTACCGGCACCCTTTTTTTTTTAACAAAAAAAGCACTGGGCACAGGAGTTGGGAGGTGCAGTTCCTGAGCAGTGATACAGGTGCTAGATGGAAGAACTGGTGGTAGATGAATGAACTAGTATCTAACAAGCGCAGTGTGGCTATGGCAGCAAGAACTGTGGCTCACATGAGCCACCTGTGTACATTCCTGCCCTATCCCTGAGTACGTACCCGGCGGCTAGCCCTAGCCATGCCCTTGTGCTGTTAAGAGTGAGCATCATTGGATCATAGAACACTAGAACGGAAAGGGACCTTGAGAAGTCACTGAGTCCAGTCCTCTCCCCCCACAGCAGGGCCATGCACCATCTAGATCATAGGTTCCCAAACTGCGGGGCGCGACCCTGGGGGAAGAAATTCCAGGGGGGGCAAGGCAACCCCGCCTCCCCCAATCCCTCCCCAAGACTTGCTCGGGTGGGGGGGAGTTGGAGCATCCTGGTTCAAAGGGCAATGTCTGCTCTGCTCTTAAAAGGGGCAACTTTTTTTTTGCTCAACCAGTTTTTTTGCAACATTTTTTGGGGGTGGGACATGAGAGTTTCTCAAAAATCAAAAAGGGGGCGTGATGCTGAAAAGCTTGGGAACCACTGATCCAGATCGTCTCTGACAGGTGTCTGTCTTAGCTGCTCTTCCATATCTCCAGAGATGGAAACTCCACAACCTCCTTAGGCAATTTATTCCAGTGTTTCACTACCCTGACTGTTAGGAAGTTTTTCCTCATGTCCCACCTAAACCTCCCTTGCTGCAGTTCAAGCCCATTGCTTCTTGTCCTGTCCTCAGAGGCCAAGGAGAACAATTTCCCCCCTCCTTCTTGTAACACCCTTTCAGGTACTTGAAAATGTTCGAGGCTAGTGTAACCACCACCAAGTGGGTTTGCATCTGGGTCCTCTGAAGCTTCATATAGGAGCCTCCACCCGTTGAGCTTAAAGTCAGCTGGCTCTCAGCTCATGCTATAGAGGTCTCTTGGTCTTATCTGTTGCTGTGGTCTAGGTACCACTGCATGGTACAGCGAAGCACACTAGGGCTATGGCTACACTCGCAGCTTCTTGCGCGAGTAATATGCAAATGAGGCTAAGCGTGGAATATCGCCGAGCCTCATTTGCATATTTCCCAACAACTGTAACTTTTGTGTTGCATGAGGGGGGATTACAGGTGTTGAGGCTGTTCCCCACTTTGGCAGTCCAAGGCTATGTCTACACTCGCGGCTTCTTGCGCGAGTAAAATGCAAATGAGGCTAAGCGTGGAATATTGCTGATCCTCATTTGCATACCTAATGAGCCACCATTTTTTTCAGAAGAGGCTCTTGCGCAAGAAGGAGCGTCTACACTGCCCCTTCTTGTGCCAGAAAAACCCTCTTGCGCAATGCCGTTACACCTATTACTTTTCAGGAAGAACGGCGTTGCGCAAGAGGGTTTTTCTGGCGCAAGAAGGGGCAGTGTAGACGCTCCTTCTTGCACAAGAGCCTCTTCCGAAAAAAATGGTGGCTCATTCGGTATGCAAATGAGGCTCGGCGATATTCCACGCTTAGCCTCATTTGCATATTACTCGCGCAAGAAGCCGCAAGTGTAGACCTAGCCCAGGTGTGTGGGTTACACGAGCTTTAGCGGAACTAGGGCATGTACATCTACCTGAACTGAGAATCCCACCTCCCAGATGCTGTGTGGACACGCACGCGCACACACGTGTACAATAACCAAGGGGCCACTCTCCTGTGTTCCTGATGCAGAAATGGGGTCAGAGTGTGGGGGCTTGCTCCGCCAACCTGCCTGGTGCTCCCATGCCCCCACCCCGCTCCCTAGCAGAAGTGTCAGGCGGTCAGAACAGTGCAAGCCCTTGGGCCCTGGGTAGAGTGCTGGGTAGGCAGAGCAGGTTGGGGGAATGAGAGGGGTATCTATTTTTCCAGGCGCCCCAAACGGTGAGCTTATTCAACACTGTCACTATACTGTATCACATGAATGGTTTTAATACCTGTTGTTGTGGTGTATACTACACCTAACATACAGGCAGTCCCCGGGTTACATGGATCCGACTTACATCGGATCCCTACTTACAAACGGGGTGAGGCAACCCCGCACTAGCTGCTTCCCCCCAGCAGACCAGGGAGACGCGAAGCTAGCACCCCCTCCCCCCCCAGCAGACTAGGGAGACGCGGAGCGGATTTTCTTAGCAGACACCTCAGCTTGAGAATAAAGGACTGAGGGAAGTGAGGTGCGGGAGAATAAAACTGAGCTCTGGAGAACTGTTTGGCTAGAGTTTCCCCTACAATATGTACCAGTTCCAACTTACATACAAATTCAACTTAAGAACAAACCTACAGTCCCTATCTTGTACGTAACCCGGGGACTGCCTGTAGTGGAAACCTTTGAACAGATCAAACCTTTGAACAGGTTTTCCATCTCCTAGCAGAGCATATTGTGGGTACGGGGTTCTGGAAGTGCTACCCCAGCTGAGGGCTCAACTTTTAAAGAGAGAGTGAGTGAAAGTGCACAGTAGGGGGCGTGAACTCCTCGCCAGAGGATGTTGTGAAGACCAAGACTTTCACAGGGTTCAAAAAAGAACTAGATAAATTCACGGAGAAGAGGTCCATGAACGGCTATGAGCCAGGTTGGGCAGGGATGGTGTCCCTAACCTCTGTTTTTCAGACGCTGGGAATGGGCAACAGGGGAGAGATGATTTGATGATTCTCTGTTCTTTTCACTCCCTCTGGGGCACTTGGCACTGTCGGCAGACAGGACACTGGGCTAGATGGACCTTTGGGCTGACCCAGTCTCCCCGTTCTTATGTACGTACATACAAAGTTACAACCACCAATCGCAACAAATGCCGTGAGGACAAGGTGCAGAGGGCTGGGCCCAAACAGAAAGCCTAAACAGTCAGTGGAGGAGCAGGCCTGAAATCTGGATCCTCTAAAACCCAGCTGGGCGCCCTGCCAGGTGGCTGCTGGCAGTCTCATTGTCTCTCACTCAGTGCAGATGTCATCATTCGGACTAGGGATACCAGTGACCAGGTAAGCAGCACCCTTAACAGGTGATGCTCACAGGGCACAGGTTAACCTGGAGCAGCCCCCGATCAGTGGACCTCTGGGGATGGGGGGGAGGGACTGGCCCGGCTCAGGGCGGGGTGGGGGCTGGGGTC